AAAATCCTTTCAAAGTTTAAGTATATGCTTTAAGGAGACTTATACTTTCTACAAATATATCAATATATCGTCTGCGTACAGGGAGATACAACACGTGCCCATCTATTACAATAGAAAAGACAAACATTGATTCTACAACTGCATATGCGAGGGGTTCAGTCGCCAGCAAAAAAAATAGCACTAGAATCTGGAAACATTTCCATCATACTTTTTATATTTTGTAGTGTTGGCATAGTGTCTGTTGAAAATCGTCCTTTAAGTCATCTGATAAGACTGTTCTTAACTGTCAGGAGAATGAATTTTGCAGCATCTCATCTCTAGTCTTTTTTCTTTGATAGGTGGAGGTCAACCCATCCTTAGACATGGCTGAGTCTGATTTCCAGAACAATGTGATGCGCTGTCGATGCAAGTACGATGGAGCACGGGTTTACATGTTTGGATGCCATGCAGGTACAGTGTGAAGACTTTCCCAAATGCACATAAATTGATCTCAATACTTTCCCTGTTTGTTGCCATGTATTCCACCTCTGTCCTTTGTCTATTTTCATCAGGTGATGCTTACAGCGCAGAGGTGGAGGACTTGTTTGACCACCAACGTCAGATCTCCAACAACTTCCTGTGAATTAAGGAACACTCAGATTTAAGGACAGAACAACTGTACACCTCCTCACCACACCTCAATATGTCAGGGGAAGGAGGTTGAATGACAATGACATGCCAGTCAATAGAAAGATGAGGGTCAGAGGGAGGAGGGTTGGAAACTGGGATGGTATGGGAGGGACTCCATGCAAAAATGACAAATTAGGATCCTGTGGCTGATCAACAGCAATGACTGTTCCTGGTAGAAAGTCAAAAGAGATTAAAGAAGAAAAAAAGGAGTAGACAAAAAAGTACAAAAAGACCAAAGTAGGCCATCACAAGCATCATGTCACAATGATAAATCATAGAGTAGTTAACAATTTTTAAAATGTGTCTTGAATTTTGTAACAAATTTAATTACCTTGATCAAAGCATAACCACAGTTAAGAAAGTAATGACATGAAGGCACATGAGAACAACACACCCTTTACTTTAACAGTACATCTCCAGGCTGTCGTCCATATAATATCAACCCAGGCAACAGACAGAACTCTGTATGCTTCATGTGCTTTCACTGTTCACATTACAAATGCAGTATTTCCTGTTACAGCTGTGTAGTTTGTGGTTTTGAATGAGAATTTTTTATTTCATGGTGCTATTTTGCCTTATTTGAATAAATATTGTAATGTATTGCAAATGTATTGTCATGTACAGTTTTATATTACCTCTCTGGAATATTGTTCTTTAGGTCTCTAATTTATGCAGAATTTTAATGTACTTTTGAATTGAAACTTGTCCCTGTCTGGCTGTGTTTTGTATTGTTAATTTTATTATGAAAAATATTTTCACTTGTTTGTTCTTTACCTGTTTAACATTGGTAACATCAGATGAGATCTGGATGTACCATATTGCGCCTTTAACAGTACTTGGTAATGGTAGTTAAAGAATAAACGTCAGATTGACAAACTGGTTATTTGAGGCATGGTTATTTGACTGCAGAGTTTTCTAATGTAGAACAAAGATAAAGGTTAATGTTAGTTTCTGCAGAAGATTTGGGGAATCTGCTAACTTTCTAAGAGAGATTCCCTTATTTATCTGACTATAAAGTTAATAAAACATATTATTCTTTAGTTCAGGCAGTTTATACAGAGCCGTATCCAAGTTTGATAGTCTGTTCATAACAGCATGCTGGCTCCATTGCTTCCCTCAGCAGATTTTAAAAAGATCTGAAAAGCCTTCAACAGCAACTGGGTTTCCCATCTTTTCCCATGGAGCCTGAGCTTACTTTTATTGTTGTTTCCAACCTCATTCCCTCTGATGAACACATACAAACACTGGAAACTCTTGTCACATTACATAAGCTATACTTTAAATATGTGACTTACTTTGGCCTTATTGTTTCCCTTTTATGAGTTGGAGTGGAATTACAAATGTAATGTTCTAAAAGTAAAATTACACATTAAAATCAAATGAGGAATACAAAGTGCATAAACAAAGTGATCTAAACTTAAAACACTTTTGGTGACATTAGCAGCACTGGGAGAAACCATTAACTATCACCTTATCTTTGGATTTTAAAATTCTTACTCTATTCAAATGTGACAAACAGGTCCCTGAACACATCTTATATCCATCAGTACTTGCACCTGTTATTAATAATTTTTATTATCATACATATCAATCCATTTGTCCCATGATTTAAGAGAGACCATTGGACTTTTGCTTAACGGCAGCCACTGCAGCAACAAGTGACAGTTATGGGATAACGCTAAATGCTATACTGTCATTACTACTGTCTTGCATTTAGCTAAAATGTTAACCTATTGTAGCAGTAGCACAAGTGCAGAAGAGCCATTCAGTCAGCAAACCGAATCCAACATTAGCACATAAGCCACCATAAGCTACCATAAGCTACTGGTCGTACCAAACCAAGAAAGGCTCTATCAGCAGCGTTTTTAAACAATCCTAAGTATGTTAAATTGAGGAACGGTGCGTTTGATTGCTTATGAATTCAACTTTTCACTCCTTTCACTAGAAAGACTTGTCTCTCAAAACAATAGTCTTGTTGTAAGCATTATCATGCTAAAACACACACTCCATGCCCAGGGAATGCAGATGAAGGAAATTACTTATATCTCTCTTTGTACATGGTCCCAGACAAATAAATGCAATACTATTAGTAATGATAATAATAATAACACTGCCAAGACACTCCTCATTGCTCAGGTAGTGATTAATTAGAGTGTGTCATAGCAGCAAAACTTTATTTTAAGAAGGGAGGAGTGATGTAAGGTGTGTTTGTTGAAAGTGTTTGGTGCTAGGAAACGCACCACCCTACACCACCAGATCCTTTATTGTGGTGGCACATTAGATTATTCCTTCATTTGGACCATGCCTCACATTGAATTTGCTCCATGACATAACAGCGTATCTGTGCAGCACATCTATGGTTGAGTTTGCACTTAGACCCACAACTTGCACAGTAGTGGTTTGTGTTTGTGTAGTGAAACTAATGGTTTTGTGTGAGGCACCCAGCAGCCTGCACTGCGGCACATAACCCCCTCGTGAAGCCACAGCAAAGCGTGAGATTATAGGCAGGGCTCAGATCTCACACGACGATGGTAAAGAGCAGCTACAGGCTGTATATGCAGTTCAGCTGCAAGAACAACAGAGCACAGGGAGGTCCACTTCTGTTTTGGCAGATGCACTGTGAAAATGTGTCCACAGTTGGTTTTATTCCACACTGGAAGTCATGTAAGTAGGTTATGAAAGAGAAAGTCACACATGCACTGAGGCCAGCTGAGACCTGGCTTCAGCGGTTCAGATGGTTTAACGGTTTAATTATAGGTGATGACAAATCAACATAGAGTACACTAACTTTTTGTCTTCAAATTAGATTTTTGGCGATCGGTTGTACAAGTAAAAACAGAACCAAGAAAACAATGTTGTATTTTTTTGTTGTGGACTTTTCCAAACTCTTTTCCTGCATTTCTAACAAATATGCATCAAGTTAAATGAATGAGTGTGGGTGAGGAGTCAGATCACGCCATTATTTAGTTCTATGTCATGGAAGTAAAGTAATAAATAGTAAAAATCACAACAAAGTTAAAAATAATTGTTACCTTGACATTTCTTTACTTTAACTTCCTGAAAAGGTTTACGTCAGTTATTACATAACGGTCTAACAGCAGGTATAAATAAAAACTTTTAATAAATACCGCCACTGTAATATTGCTTTTTAATACCTCCCCCATTAAATAAATTTTAATGTCTCTCACTAACTCATATTAACCTGTTTTATGTCCTGCCCTTGTGGCCATAAAAAAACTTTCATTTCATTAAGTTTAACAACTCTTCTGCTTCTGCTGTACAAATACATCTATATTTGTGTGAATATGAATTAATCATGCTCATTGTGAACTACTGATTTAAAAAAAAAAACAAATGAACACAAAAACTCAACATGCAATGGTGGCTCCGCTGAGGCTGCAGCACATTAATTAGCCCTCCATGAGCCACGTGGCACTGTGTCTCGTCCTCTGCCAATGGCCTAAAAGGTTTTACAAACTGGGCTCCTAAAGCAGCAATGGACTGCATTGATTTAGATACAGTGGTATCAAATACTCTACGATGTCTGCAGGCTATATGTTTCAATATGAATATGAAGAATCACTATTCCAAACATGTATGTATGCAGCAATCTGTTGTATTGCTGTTATCCAATCGCAGCTTGCAGCCAGCGAATCCAAACGTTTACAAAAAATGTTTAGTTGATATAGTTAAATAATTTGCAGTAAAACAAATGACACATTTGCAGCTCTTTCACCAAGCTGGGAGACTGAGACTTAATTATTGGCTGGTAGGGTGAAGGAGACGCAGTGCCACATGGTCCGTGGTCAGCCGGGTGAAGCCTCAAAGGAGGCAGCTGCCCCCATCTGTCACAGAAGTCTCCTGAGCGTTTCAGGAAGCTGAATTATAAAGGCTGACTCTGAAGTAGGAAACTTAGTTTCAGTTAAACATTTAACTAAATAAACACGTCTCTCTTTAGTGAAACCCAAAATCAAACTTTCCAGGAATAAATAAAAACAGCATGTGAAGACCGACCAGAAAACATCCGTCAACGTAAAGCAGTTTGAAGGAGTCGTGATAAGAGCCTTGTGTTGCGGAGCTTTCTTAACCAACAGATCATGTAATACTGTGCTTCTCAAATCGGGACACGCATACCCCTAGGGATACTTTGGAGTACTGCAGGGGGTACATGAGCTTTTCAAAAAATGTTCATTTAAAAAATATCTGTCATGCATCATTTTAAAAATAAAGTTCAATAAAAATGTAAATGTACGTTTGATAAATCACAGACTGTTTTCCTACCAAGACGCTGGTCAGGAGGTACATGGGTTGGGATAGAAATGGTGCCTTCATTTTTTTAAACCTCATTTATTCAGTTTATTATTTCAGGATACTTTTTCCTTTGTTTTGACAAATTAAAACATATGCAATGGAAATACAACATCTGCTCAATAGCTTCATTCAAGTTCACTGACCCTATATTTCACTGTGCAGACGGCATGCTACTCATTTTCAGGATGTAGATTACTAATGTACTAGCACCAGATTATTCACAATGTCTTAAACAAGTAAATGTGCTAAAGGACAACTATTTGTCTACATAGATTTCGTCTCCATTATTGGACAGACACGTGACTGTGGTTGTTTCTGAACAGGGACAAGGTACAGCAGCACCCCTCTAAAGCCTAAGACAAAATCTGTCAACTAAAAGATTATTTGGTTGAAAGTTGCTCTTCAGAATGAACGACATCATCATCATCATCATCATCATCAATCTTCTTTGGCTTTTCATTTCTCAGTAAATATTTAATAAGAGGAGCCAATCCAATTTAGATAAAAGGGAGCATTCCACTGACCGTAAACTATGGTGCTTTTTTTTTTTTTTTTAAACGACAACTTTTAATTCAACTTCTCAAACAGAGTCTAATCTCAACAATGTTTCATATACAGTAGAATGACGTAATATATCATTATGAGTGAATAACTAATATTATGGACCTTTAACAGAAAGCTTTGCTGCCCTCGCACTTACAGGTGTATTTACTTGGGTCATCTTTAAAAACATTAAAATAATTCCATATAAAAACAAACATAATGGCTTAAATCTATTTAAAAAATATTACTTTGAAGCATTAGTTACCCTTTATAAATGATTAGACTCAGTGCTTCACTACAGACTGTGGTTACAAGGTTGAGCAATATGAAAGCAGGTGAGTCGGTTGCATTAGCCCTGGCCAGCATGGACATATAGGTATGAACATAGAGGTGGGGGAGCAGTAGCAGTATTCTCTCATCTGATGTAACACTGGATGATGAGGCATTCTGTGAGAGCTTGCTAAGAACTGCTGAAGGAAAAAATGGTGGGAATCCATTTCAGGGAAGTGTGGTGGTAGGAGGGGTGGCCAGTTGAGAAAAGCAGAGCAGGAGAAGAAATGGAGCAGACTTTAACCTCTGCTGTATCAATGAATCCAAAAAAGAAAACAGATGGGGGGTAGTTTTCTGTCCAGTCACTTCCCCTCCCAAGCATCTTCCTTCTGTTTGGCTGCCATCTGCTTTTGATCTGAAAGGTAAATCACAACATATCAATTAGCGAGAACCCTAAACTAAACATGTATGATTTGTTGCTCTAACTTTGTACCCCTGTCTTTGTGAGGAGCTGAGGGAGACTGACGGGCTGGCTATAAATTAATCTCTGGATAGGACCAATGTGTGGCGTCCATTCCAAGGACACAATGTTCAGCACATGATGCACTTCTGCACTGACATTTACTGTGCGTGTTGTGATCTTAAATAAAAGAGCACAGCAGTGTGCCTGTGCTGAGAACAAAGGAGCTTTTTTAGGTTTCTATACTCAAGGCCCTGACTTCCTGACTGGCTGTTCAGTGGACAGCCATTTGTGGTTTTCTGTGCCTATATACTTATGTTCCATCTGTGAAGGGAAATGGCTGCTGTACTGATTATAGACCTGTTATGATCGGCACAGCAGTGGAAGGAGAGCGACTTCTCTTGGCATCAACTTGCGTAAAGTATAAAAACAGCTCCCACTTGTGGTGGAAAACTTGTGATGCAAAAACCAGGACAATCAGATGAGGACTGTTGTGGGTTATTAATATGCATTTATTCAGAGAACCCATGTTGACACTCACACATATTAAACCCACTATTCACTTTAACTACCCACCCAAAATAAAGAGAGCTGTAATATTTCAGTCTCCTTAAACGTCTAGGCTACTCATGGAGAGAACAGGCCTTCAAAAAGGTTTCTGCTGACCACAATACACCTTCATCTAAACATAACAGCTCTCTGAACAACGCACCTCTCGCCTCCTGGAGTTTCCTTCTCTCTGCATCGCGCTGCTCCTTTGTAAGGTTGCTCTTAACACCAAGGGCACCGATTACAAGCTTGCGAGCCAGAGCTGCACTCGTCTGAGGTCTCTCTTTAGCAGGCAGGAGGTAGTCTGGGTGAACGGAGGAAAGGAGAATAAGAGGGGCACAGGTAATAATCTTTAAATGGGTGAGATACAGAGGACAAACAGGGCAGCTGTATCTGTACCTGAGCAGCTACGGGCTTTGGCCTTTGTAGCAGAGGAGGATTTGGAGAGTGGTCGCAACTTCATCAGTGGGTGTTTGGACCTTAAAGCTTCACGGGCTACAAAGAGAAAAGAAACAACTGGCATAAGTCGATACAAAGCACATTTATAAGATGATGTGTAAAAGGAATTCAAAAACTTACAATATCTTATAATAGCTCAGAAGATAACACCGATTTAATGTTAATAATGTTGAGTGTTTCAGTCAGATCCTCTTTATTAAGCCATTTTCCACCAATTGTGGCAGGAAAAGGTGTTACAACAACAATATTTACTGCAGTTTAATGTATTCTGAAGTATCTCCCCCCAAAGCGCCTTCTTTGTGAAGCAGCACTTCACTTACCTGCTATGGGGCTTGAGAAAAGGCCCAGGGCCTGTGATTCATCAATCCACTTGATGTCAAAGCCTCTTTGTCTGAAAACACAGTGAAAAAAAGAAGATGAAACTACTATAATACTTCTTGTCTTGTGGTTCTGGTTGTGGGTGCAATACATATGCCAGGAATCCTACACTCACTGAGATGTCATCATAGGGCTTTAGAGCTTGTATCCACATAGGGGTTTGGCACTGGCAGGCTGCTGGTATGAAGCTTTTGTGCAGTGAGAGGAAATAAAACTGCTGAACATGGATTTCGTTTCTATGACAACATATCACCACCGCCATTGTATGATAGACTAGCATCGCCCCTTTGATTGTTATTACAACATATTTTTTATTCTTTAGCATCTATTTGCCATAAGCACCAACCAGAGGATGATTGCTTTCATACCTTTATGAACAGCAAATCTCACCGCCTGGTCCAAGAGCTACTGTTAGATAGAAACGCACTTCAGCTTAAAACAAGGGGCAAGTTGATGTACTCTTCCAGAAGGTTACGTCTCCAGAGCACAGACAACATTCAGTGATCAGCCCCGAGTGTCTGTGAATGTCTACAGTGAGTTAGTTTATGATTGTTTGTCTGAAAAAGAGCAACAGTGACGACACAAGTGCTTGGAGCAGCTGCACAAAATAGTTGGAGTATTCTGAATAAAGACGCTGGGAGCTGCACTTTTCCCTAGGTGGCCTCACGCTGCTGCATACACTCTGCTTACTGGGAGCAACTGAAAAAACACTATGTGGACACACAGTAACATCAGGATTTCAGTGTTGACCTTAAGGAGAAAAAAAGTGAACTATATTAATGAATCTCTCTCTACTCTATTGTAGCTTTACATTTTTTAAGGCTAGTAGAAGAAGTACATTGAAATATACATACTGGTAACACTGAAACAACTTGAGAAGGTCCTCCGTCTTAAACTCAGCGGGGAAGTCGTAGATCTCTACGATGTGAGCAAGTTCATCTTCACTGAGGTCGATGTCTTCATCGTCATCGTCGTCTCGGTCCATGTTGTAGTAATCAAACCTAGGCTGCTGGACAGAATCCTTCTTTCTACCTTCCTTAATGGCAAGCTAGAAGGGTTGAGAAGAGAGAAGAGTGGGAAACGACAAGAAGGAAAGAGATAAGGCGCATTAAGCCTGAATAATAACTCCGCTGTTAGAACCGACCAACAGACCGACCAACACCAGGCCCTCACCTCTTCCAGCAGGTGTGGATCCAGACAATCTCCATCATCGTTGAACAAGGTGTCCCAACTCTCCTCTTCTTCCTGCTCTTCCTGCTCTTCCTGAAAGCCTGTCGCTTCCAGTCGTGAATTAGCATCTGCATCTGAGTCAACGTGCCCATTAATCTGCACATCTGCATCCCGTAACCGCTCTTCCTTCACATCAGGCTTGCTGTCACCATCCTGTAGCTCACCTCCATCGACAGGACCCTTATCCGCTGCTCCAGCCTTGTCCTTCTTGTTCTTTGCATTTTTCCTTGCCTTGTCTGTGTAGCGAGGCCTGGGTCTTGGTTTGACCTCGCCCTGAGGCTGAGCTTTGTCTTTGGCGCCCTGGACGCGTTGCTTGGGGACGTACAGAGCCTGACTTGGTTTCTTGGACTGAGGCGGAGGTGTGGATGCTGGCTGGGCTGGAGCACAGTCTTCTTTTGGCTGTTCCAACTCCATTATTAAATGAAGTTAAAACATCTGGATCAGAAAGGAAAAGCCAACAGGAGAAGACGTAATGTAGTAACAATACATAACATCATGTATTAAATATTTCTTAACCATTCACAGATTTCTAAACGAGTCTTGAATGGATTTAAGGACAATATGAATTATCTTGTATTCCTATTACTTTAAATAGTAAACTCCTCCGACAGAACCGTCTGAAAATGCATCACAACGCATTTAATGCTAACAGCTAACAGCTAACAGCTAGCGCTGAACCATTACTTGCAATACATTGCTGTTAGCAGTTAGCTAGCTTAACTTCCTCTTGTTGAGGTTGTAATAATTCATTAGTTAGAACACAAACATTACGTTGAAATAAATACACATTAAAATCATCCAAACCCTTTTCCAAACGAACTATATTTGATAGATGTGGCTCTTTTAGCTTACCCGGGTTCGGTTTGTTTAGCAACAGATTTTCGTCGCACTACTGACGCAAGCGCAGGACAACGCTAAGCATTCTGGGAGATGGTGTTTTTATATGTCGCTGTAGCTGAGTCACTGAGGACGGCAGGCAGGTTTATTTGATGTGGAATCCGTTTTTATCAGTTTATTAGTTGTCTGTATAAGTCAACATTTCTTCCCCGGCAGGATTTCTTAATGTGCGGTGGTTTGAATGTATTCTTTCTGTGCTGTCGCTGTAATATAGTTGTACTGCAGCGCCTACAAACAGAGCAGACTTCCGCGTCTGGTGTACACGCGCACAGTAGCACAGCTCAACCATTGGTCAACATTCTAATTATTCACACATCTCTTCGCTGATTGGTCAATCTTCTACAACGTTACACAAGCTGTTTCGTAAATTTTAAAAGCATAAATTGTGTAAGGTGATGTGCACTGACAAATGATATAACAAACGGCGCTGAGTGCACTCGCAGAGAAGTCAGATAATCTCAATCTCTACACACTGATAGAGCTGTCAGGTAAGACTGTTTCTGAAGTGACCACATTCCTGCATGCCACTGCTCAGGAACAAGAAGAGGAAAAGACATCAATGATTTCTTGGAGCAAATGAAAGATTAGATCGTGCATATGTTTTAACAGCACTGTAAACTAGAAATCATCAGTAATACATAATAATGTTATTAATATGCGTTAATAATATATCTTTGTGCAGACACTGTACTGTAGTGAGCTATACAAGAATCTAGTAATTATAATTCTCTAAATGTACTTTCTCAAAATGGAAAAATAAAACATAATGGAGTTCACTGGTGGATTCGGAGAGAAACTGCTCATACTTAAATCTGTCTTCTATCTATCTTTTGTTTGTTTGGATCACTTTGATTTCTTTCATATACTTATATGAAATATATTTTTACACTTTGATTGTCATAAGAAATGTTTATGTTGTTTCTCTCTTTGTGAGCCCCACAGTTTAAGGTTAATTTATTAATTATTTGGACACTCCAGTAACTCATGCTTAAAGTTGAGCGACTCACAAGAGACACATAAAAATGGTCAAAATAAATCAATTTTATGAATGATATTGGTGGAGGCTGACCCTGCACTGAATTTTGCTTTACTGAGGGATGCTAACATGCTGATCATGTCATGAACATAGAGAATCTCTATATATTGTATTACGTCTGTCCTCCTGCACTATTCAAAAGACTTGTGCATCATCTGCATATCGAGTTGAAATGACCCAGCCCTGCCCTGTGTTCCAGCAGCGATGTGGGCTTCAGGTCTGTTGCTCTTCCTGGTCGGACTCTGGCATCAGTCCCGCGCCCAGGGCTCTGAGCCCATGCTGCGGGTTGTGACGGAGACGATGCTTCCTCCTGACAGTCTGCACAATCCCACACAACTCAACTATGGGATGGCTGTAACAGACGTGGATGGGGACGGTGACCTGGAGGTGGTTGTGGCAGGGTGAGTGCGAATAAGAGAGAAGTGCAGACGGCGTGACGGCGTTCGTCTGTTAGCTGTGTCTTATGTTTATTACGCTGTGCAGAAATTCTTCTCTGAAACTGTGTGAGCAAAACCAACCTGTGTGGTGTTCTCACTCAGGTACAATGGACCCAACCTGGTGCTGAAGTATGACCACACTCAAAACAGGCTGGTTAACATTGCTATTGATGACAGCAACTCTCCATACTACGCCCTGAGGGACCGAGCAGGAAACGCTATTGGCGTTACTGCCTGTGATGTGGATGGAGATGGACGTGAGGAGATCTACTTCCTCAACACCAACAATGCCTACTCTGGTAAATTGTGCATTGTAATGGTGTGTCCTCAAAATGTTTGGCCCCAGCAAGTAATGACAGGTAACTGAATGATATTTCTTCATAATAACTTGATAATAATATTCTTTAAACGCAGGACGGGCAACTTATTCAGACAAGCTCTTCAAGTTTCGGAACGGCCGTTTTGAAGACCTTCTTAGCGATGAGCTCAATGTGCGTCGTGGTGTTGCTAATCGCATGGCGGGGCGTTCGGTTGCATGTGTTGACAGAAAGGTTAGTTAACCAAGTTTGTAAACCTATTTATAAAGTCCCACAATCTGTTTCTTCATTTGTCACCTTCTATTTTCTCTATTTTACATGTCTTCTATTTCCTGCCATCGTCTCAATGATTCATGATTCCTTGCCTGTTGTTGCTCCTCAGGGAACAGGCCGTTACTCAGTCTACGTGGCCAACTATGCTAGTGGCAACGTCGGTCCCCACGCTCTCTTAGAAATGGACGAGACTGCAAGTGATGTGGCCAAGGGTATCATTGCTCTGTCAGACGTGGCTGCGGAGGCCGGGGTCAACAAGTTCACAGGTCGGGTTGTAGGAGCGAAGTCTGCGATGTTTTGAAGTGTGCTGAATAAGCTGAAGCATTTACGGTTTGCTTGTTGTGCAGGTGGGCGCGGTGTGGTGGTTGGTCCAATCTTGAGCCAGTCGAGGTCAGATGTGTTCTGCGACAACGAGAACGGACCCAACTTCCTGTTCAAGAATAATGGAGATGGGACTTTTGTTGATATGGCCAGACAGTCAGGTGAGTACGAAACAAAAGAAACTAAAAACAGGTAGTCAGGAGTAGAAATAATTATAATCAAATATAGTTCTTGAGTTTGATTATTGGTTTATCAGACAATTGTATGTCTGTCAAAGTTAAAATTTTAGGGATGGCAGTGTCGGACTGGCAGCCAACACTTTGACCGTCTGAAATGTCCTCATAACTGTTGGATGGATTACCGTGAAAATACTTTTGTTTATGACTAAACAAACTAAATAACGGCAAAACTGATGAAATTACCATTACCCTCATCTGTACTTTGTGTTAATTAACAAATGCATTAATTGCCAAATGTTAGCATGCTAACCCACTACAGTCGTGCCCCCGTCAGAAGCTGACAAAGGTTCATGCCAACAGTTTCCCCACAATTTGTATCAGTCATTAATGATGGGGCGAGCAACATATAAAATAGCATCCAAGTTGAGTTTTTGTGAAATAAAGTTCAGCACGTTAGCATCACAAACTCTTTTATTTTCCTGATATAAAACGTATTTATTAAACTTTTCACTCCACATTTTTCCCTAATCATCCACGCCACCCCTACAGTGGCTCTGTGTCCCACCAGGGGGGCCCTCCCACAGTTTGAGAACCACTGCACTAAACCTAGACTGTGACCATGGTAAACATTGTACCTGGTAAACATCAACATGTTGTTTTTTTGTTTAAATGAGACCAGGTAGGTAATTGAAATTGAAATATTGAGGTTATTGAAGTCTGGTATTGGGTACCAGAATGTGTTGCTGTTTTTTTATTACCACTAGTAGTTGCCAATGTTAGGAATTTTCAAATCCTACATAGCTTTAAAAATATTATCTTTCCAGCACTAGCAGCACTAAGGATTTCAACAATGTGTCAACTTCTAAAGGTGTGGAGGACCGGTACCAGCATGGCAGAGGCGTCGCACTGGCTGACTTCAATGGGGATGGAATGACAGACATCATCTACGGCAACTGGAATGGCCCACACAGACTTTTCCTACAGGGCAGCGACTCTACATTCCGGGTAAGGAAGGAGAACAGGAAAGTTACAGAAATGAATAAAAAGTGGGTGGCATATAAAAGTCTGTAAGATGAAAAGAGTTTGATTGATCAAGACTTAACAGCGTTCTCCCGTGCAGAACATAGCTACTGGAGGATTTGCTGCTCCCTCGCCTATTCGCACAGTCATCGCCGCCGACTTAGACAATGACAAGGAGCTGGACGTGTTTTTCAACAATATTGCTTACAGAGGCAACGCACCTAACAGGCTGTTCAGGTAACATTCCAATTATCATGTGAACTCGTGGTCCAACGAGAAGCATCAATTTATAAAATCAAAAACAGCTTGCCGTAAAGCACGTGTTGGATTATTGCATTATTAGCTATTTTTAGAGTCCCGTGTTTGTTTGCAGGGTGTCAAGGAGAGCTGATGCAGACCCTTTGATCCAGGAGCTGAATGTGGGAGATGCTGCAGAGCCAGAGGGGCGAGGAACAGGTCAGCCATCTCTGAACTCAGAACAGAGGACACTGGGCAACCTATTAAAATGTTGTGAATATGTGACATCTCTGCTACCTCTCCGTTTGGATGAGATTTACAGAGAGACAGCTGTCAGAGGAGTTAATACGTAGGTCAGTGTAGTGAAAGCACTCTGTCTGTTTTGGACAGGTGGCACTGTGACAGACTTTGATGGGGACGGACAGCTGGACCTGCTGCTGGCACACGGAGAGAGTGCCCAGCAGCCAATCTCTGTCTTCAAGGTCACACAGGTGTGTATATGAGTGAATAATCTTCGGGGGCTTTTTGTGAAATATTGAGCTTTGAGCTTCAAACAATTATTTCTATAAAGAAAGTTTAAAGGGGAAATCTGTCTTAGGTGGAACTGATTTGTGAAACATAACAAGAGGCCCCAAATAAACACTGCTTTGGTGTCACAAGCCAAATAAATTGGGAACCATTGGTTTATATATGAAAATGCTTTTTTTTTTTAAACTTGACAATTTTTGTATGTAAAATATTAATCTAAAAACTTCAGCTCTCAGATAAATGTAGTGCAGCATTTCATTTTGAAATGTAGTGGAGTTGAAATATAAGGCAGCATAAAATCATAAAATCGGAAATACTCAAGTACAAGTACCTCAAGATTGTACTTAACTATTATTTGAGTAAATGTACTTGATTATATTATAGTAACTGAGCCCTAAAGATCAGCAACCTAAACTGTCAACACTCATCAGGGTTCTTCCAACAACTGGCTGCGGGTCATTCCACGCACCCAGTTCGGCTCTTTCGCCCGGGGAGCGAAGGTAACAGCCTTCACCAGTCAGAGTGGAGCTCACACACGAATCATTGACGGAGGTTCAGGGTACCTGTGTGAGATGGAGCCAGTGGCACACTTTGGTTTAGGTAACTTCCTTTACAATTTATAATTCACATGACACTGAAAGAAAATGGGACATATTGTATATCTCAAGTAAAAAGGCAGTAGGCTTATTATTGCTGTTATTTTTTAATGCATGTGTTAAACCCAATCTGCTTTATTAGTACTGGCCGATTTAAAAGAATACTACTTTACTTTGGTAAATACACCATGTCACTTTCTTAATGAGAGGGAAAAACGATACCAGATTAGTTTAGCTTAGCACGTTCTGTGTTTCCCTTGATTCCACTCTTCATGCTAAGCTTATTGTCTTCTGCTGGCTGTCACCGCTAGCATCTGTATTTGACGATTTGGGAATGAGAACGGACTGTGAAGTGTGTAGGAGAAACTACTAAAACACAAAAGGCCCAATCTACAGCCAGTGTTTAGTTTGTTTGTTCTGGGCTCCTGTAGAAACATGGCGGTTCAACGTGGCAGACTCAATGGAAGGCAACAACAAAAAAACACAACGATTCCTACATTCTGATTTTACTGTAATGAAAATACTTTTTGAAAGGTTTGTGTGATGCTCAGTTTTTTTTATCCACCACACCCAGGAAATGATAAGGTGACGGTACTGGAGGTCTCCTGGCCAGACGGCAGCTCCATCACTCGAACCTTGCAGTCGGGTGAAATGAACTCTGTGGTGGAAGTGGCCTATCCCACAGAAGGAGAAACGTTTCTGCTCGCCAATGACACCCAGGTACACAGAACGGCTCCACGGCATGAATTATGAACACTGGTAATGTTCCAGTCAATCTCTGATAGCGGCCTTATAAACTTGTCCAAACCACCACAGTTAGTCCGTCAAGTTCCGTTCAATTACAAGCTTTAAAATCTTATTATTTTTTTTAAATCAGTGGTGTCATTAATCGAGTGTTGCTGATATAGATGATACTCTTTAGTTCTTTGTCTGTAAAATACAAATGAATCAACATATTTGGTTTGAATACCAATACATTTCTTTCTTCTTTTTGTTCAGTGTGGTAATGGTTTTACTGTCAAGAATGGCCGCTGTGCAGGTAAGCAAATTCTTTTTAAATCAGTTTTTTTTTTTAATGAAGCGACTTTAAAGATGAAACCATTTAAAACCAACAATGATTTGTTTTCTTTTTAATCTTCTACAGGTCTGTGAGGATAATCACATGAAATACAATAAATAATTGCATGGCTTTAGAATACATTTCTTTTTGTCTGTGCTTTAAGACGGGGGGCCTTGTTGTTTTCTTTACTCTATGAGTAGTTTTAATATTTTTGTGTTTCTTATTTTTCTCTTGGACTCATTATTCACTTTTCCTTCGACTGCTAAGTTGTTTTTTCTATGTGCGATGGCAAATTCTAAATAAACTGCTACAAATCAATGTGGTCAGATTATCATTTCATCAGGTACAAAAAAACTGCAGCCAGCTGAAAATGAACTAGTAAGAACAAAACATGTGGCTGATACAGACTAGCTGGAATAATCAGGAAGAACACGCTTTCAGTACAAAGCACGAGATATTTAGTTAACTTACTCCACTGTGTCCCTTGTGCTTGCACCTCTCTCCTGCCTTTTCTCATCCTTCCTCCATCTCCATCTGTGTCAGCCATTTGTACTGTGTGCTCTTAACCTGATGTCTGCTTCTCCTTGTCTTCCTCCATCCTGTCCCTCCATCCTTGCAGCGTTGACTCCATTTTATGATGGCGCACGCTCCACTTCCGTCTCCACGTTTGAAGCCTCCTGTTTTAAGACCGTTTTACTACAGTGTGTCATTGTGCTTTCTGCACTGGCAGATCTCAGGGGATGGTAGTCTCGAGAGTAAAGATGATACAGTAAGACAGCCTTTATCCAGCACTGCATGCATGGACCAAGCAAAAGACTTCCTGTGACATGCAGTAACAATTAGCCTGTGTATCAGAATGCATATCCGTGTGTCTGGACATTTCCTGTTTGCTCTGGTGAGCTGGTTGCATGCACTACTCCCTCCATGTTGTAAGTCTAGACTAAAAAATTTGGATCAGTATCGTGCCCTTTACCCAGCTGTTGCAGTGTCGTATATCCTGTCAAGCACGCATGCAGACATGAGGGAATTTTCCTGACCAAAGCTTGTCACACCATGAAATTATAAGATTTTTTAAATATGACATTTATTGTCTGATGTTTTTAGTGCATGCAGATTGTTTAAATCGTTATCATTATGTACTATAGGCCTTCTCCACAGCAGACGTTTTAATAGCAGGAACAGCTAAGGTGTTACTGATAACATTAACAATGGCTCTGTTCTGTGCAAGAGACCCTGAAACTGAAGATAAATGAAATTCAGCCATCAATCATTTTATTATTTACACCTGTGCTTTCACTTTTCCTACATGTCAATGTCACATAAAAAATGGCTATCGTGGATTAAATGACCATCTGCGTTAGCAATTTTGCAATAAATTGCACATTGTGATCTAAAAACAAGTCCACAGTCAAGTTGAATGAAATCCTGCCCAGCCAACAAGACAAATTATATTAAATAAATTGTTAAACGCTATTTATGTGTCAAAGCAACCATGATTGAACGCAGCACTGATGTATTATCACCCAACTAAAGTGTTATGGCTGAGGTGTCAGCAAACAGTTGCTTATTCACACATCCAGCAGCTACAGCGCATGATCATATATTTTGAGTTGAGTTTCTGTTCAACTGTTGACTGTAAATCCATTAATGATATTATAAACACATGGGCTGTGACAAGGCAAAAATTGTCACGGCCTATATAGTACATTTACAGTTGAGTAACAAAGAAGAGGAGTTCTGTGCAGCTGTGATGAAACAGTATTTATTTGACACCAGTCATATATACTCATTGCCATGTGTATCAAACAATAAGCGGTACGAAAGTTTGTTCTTGCACAAAATGTCACCAAAATATGAGACACATTCACATTTGTGAGCCAGTTTCTGGCAGTCATCATTCTTTGGAAGTTTGTTCAGAAATCAAGGAAGGGTTGGTGTATTTTAAAACACTACATGTAAGATTCAGGAAGACTTTTTGACCCATCCATTGTCTACTTACTACTGCGTTTAATGCACAGCATGTCTTTGCATAATCAAAATTTAGGAAGAGTTGGTCTCACTCATTGAAACCAAGAGGTTAGTACTTAGATTTGTGCATGTGTTTTTGTGTATGACAAATAAAATATAGGCTTCACGTGAGAAAAATGGAAGATCTGCTACATTATATACACGGATGGGCTGAATGACATTCACCTGCTACCAGACAGCATGAAGGGGAGGGGGGAGAGGGTCTTTGTACAGCTTACCTGGGCTCTGGGGAGGTGAAACTTCATGATGCCCTATACTTGTACATCATACTTTACATTTACCAAAATGTTAAAAGCCAGTGTCTGGTGTGCAGGGTTGATGGTGATGAGTTCAGTCCAGTTTCCTGGTTGGTCCGGTGCGGTAAGGGCGCGGCTGTGGCTGAACTGGCCCACATTGGTGCAACTGTGGTGGCTGAGGTATGAGGTTTGGTGAGATTTGTGGTCTTCACTCCTGTCTATACACTTCCTTCCTCCCTCCCTCTTTTCTCACCCACCAGATTAAACAGTACAGTTAGCTGTGGTAGCAAGCAAAGAGGACAGGAAGGAAGGTAACGGTACAATCACACAAAGTATTACTAACAAAATTTTCTACTCACTGAAGACATTGCATCCTACAGTAACACATGTCAGCGCATGCAAATTGCTTTGTAATAAACAACTGAAGTGTGTGTTTTAAGCGTTGGCAGCAAAAATAAAAAAAATCATGAACAACTTTAGCATGTGTTAGCACGTCAGGAGCAACATGCCTGTCTTTGTTAAAAGCTAGTGGATCCTTTGTGTGAGCATGTGTGGGCTAATAAGTGTTGGAACAGGAGTAGTGTCATTGTCCGAAGTTCTTCTCCAGGGTTGTGAGTGATCAGGGGGACGCGTTTTTTAGGAATTACCCGGTCATCGAGCAGTGCTGCCGGACACAGAGCTGCTCCCTGAGCTGGACCCGCTGGAGCCCCGGTCTTCATAGATGGAAATCTCTATCTGGTGGAAGACTAGTTAGGGACCACGAATTTGCTTTGGAGTGTAATTAAACAATAAAAGACACGTAATAATGCGGCGTTTGTGTGCATGCACCCAAAAACACTGAGGAAGGATACGACACGCATTCCCCTTTCTATGGGATCTGTGATGAGCAGCCCCCTGGGAGCATAAATCTTCTCATTCTGCTCCTGAATGTACTTAGCTATCTTCTTCAACACCTAACACACAGACAGAAGAAAAATGAGAGCTGGTGAGGAATCCCAGACATGTTAATCATTGTCCCAGATCATTAAAATGCACAGAGATCCCCAGTCTGACCTTCTCATAGCGCGTCTCCATGCAGAGGAAGATAAGATATGCTGTAGCACACGCCAGACACCCCTCCAGGTAGGACTGGCCTCCGATCTTTTCTGCCTCAGCGTAGTAGTTATTCAGCGTCTTCACAGTGTCCTCAAACAGTGTCCGCTCAATCTGGAGACACACGCAGGGTAAGAACTGGTTAAGATCATTTTTTGGATTTAACAGTAATAGTAGAGATACAGACAGCGAACACAGGGAGACAAAGAGGAGGATTTGAAATGCAACAAAAGGTCCCTGGCTGAAATCCAACCAGTAACGTCTCAGCTATAAAGTATGTGTCTTTACCATTAGACCACCAGAGCGTTACAAGTAACAGTTCTGTTAATGAGGTAATAAATAAAATGAATATAGGCATTGTTTGGTGTGTCATCAACATACATACAGTGGTAAGGCAGGTAAATGGTCTGCTGGCAGACTTGTTTCTGTATTTTATCACTATTTATTATTCATGTGTGTATTATTCCTGTATTTAGATATAGGAGTTGGTTGGGTCGGGGGTAACGGGTGTTAAAAAGGTAAAGAAATATTTGTAATATTGCTGTAATGGATCGCTTGATACAAATATTAAAATAAGTAAATAAAAATAGCACATATTGCTTTGAATTTACTAACGTGTATCCTTTCCGGCGTGGAGGAACAATGGCATTTAAAGCAATTTGTAAGAGAAAGGCCCCCATTAGCATCTCAATGTCAATTCACGTCTCACACAACACGCTGGTGGCATAAACAAAAAAGTGTGACAGAGTGTTACAGTAGTTTCTGTCCGATTATTCTCTTCTCACACACACCACAATGACATCATGTCATACCATGCGCTATGACAACGGCTACAAATACACATTCAAATGCACGTGTGGCTGTCTCCTCACCCTGCTCTCCAGCTCAGAGGGGAACTTGGTCTGAAACTTGCAGGTGGTCCCTTCACTGTAGTCTCTCTGGATGAAGACTTTGTTAGCCAGAGATGCGCTGTGCCTCAACTCCTGCAGATTGTGGAACTGAGGGGGATAAAATACACACACACACACAC